TCTAAAGTCACTTAGAGTTTGTCTTGTTAGCAAGTAGAGAGTTTAAAGTACAAGAGCAAGCCACAAGTGGTGACATTGGAATTCATACTTTGTGAACTATCTGAAGGTATCTTCTGCAGTAGAAACAATAATTGACTTCTTTGTTTTGCACTCTGTTCCATAGCAGCATGTGTTTTCCATACACATTTGCTTTGTCTTTGAGTTTATCATTATCAAAATAATACAGAAATGATATTATTTGGGTGTGAATATCGTTATATGTATATTTGATTTTTCTGTAAGTTGACAGTTTCATCATCATGTCTAAATAACATTTACTTGACAGTGGACCCCCAGGATGCCATGATGGGCACTGAATGAAAAAGTCAATTAAGCAAATATGAACCTATACTTTACCATAGAGTATTTAGAACAACATTCTTTTAGAATTATTATGCTTTCAACCTTTGGTGGATTTAAAATTTTAATCTTTTTCATAATGTTTTCTACTTTTTTATTTTGAAAAAAATGAGTTATTTATTGGTGAATTCAAACTCTGTTTCTCAAGCCTTTGACAAATATGACAGTTACTATTTCACAACTCTAGGCACACAGAATTGTGTGCACCTCCATATCACATGCTTAGAGAGACCTGGAAAGTTTTCCTTGTCACCTGGGTCCACTGACACAAATTTTAGGACAAAAAGTTATCGTTGAGTGTCAAGGAGCAGGAAAGGATTATTTTCTCTTGGTTTATACCACTTTTGTGGTTTGAAGGAAGATTGCTTCCAAGGACACTTAATAACCTTGAATAGATATGACATTCCTAGCTGATTCATGGCTATGAATAGCTATGATTAAATATTTGAAAGAGTTTCCAAATGGCTATAGGAAAGTCTCTCTCTCTCTCTCTCTCTCTCTCTCTCTCTCTCTCTCTGGTTGCAAATAAACCTATGGAGGGAAAAGAAAATGTCTCAGTTTCCATACATAAAAATAAGGGTGATTTTAACGTGATAAATCATATTTGCCAAAACACAACATTCAGCATTCAAAGTGGGACATTTTTCATTTTTTAATTTAAATCGTTAGGTTTGAGTGGCATTAACATTAGTGGAGATTCATAATCAACTGAAGCTTAAGTTGAAATGAAGTTAAGTTAATGAAGCTTAAGTTGAAATGAATTGGTTGAAATGAAGTTCGGTGAATTATTTTTACCTTTTAATTTTATTTTTGCATTTTAATTAATAGATTTCATTTTTTGGTGTTGTTTTACATTAACAGAAAAACTGAGCAAGTTTTTCAAAGTTTCTGTATATATATTTTATCCCATTCAGCAACCATTTTTATTTACCTAAACTCTACTTTGAGTATTTAGTATTCTTGAGCAGCTTAGAAATTGGAGACACTCTTTGTATATTTTTAATAATGCAACTACCCTTGTCAAATTTATTTTCTCCTGTTTCCAGTATCTAGTCCACTAATACATTCCTTTTATAGTTCAGCTCTCACAGCCACTGAAGAACTTTACATTGACCCTAGTGGCAGTGTGCAGAATGGGTTGGAGCAGGAAGGGTATGGGGGAAGGAATGTCTACAGTTCAGGCAGAACTGATGAGGGACTTAGCTAAAGCAGTGGCAACTGGGATGGAAAGGAAGAGAGAGACTGTAGATTGCAATGCGACCTAGCAATGAGGTAGATGCTTCTGTGGATGAAGGAGTGGTAAGTTCTAGGTTTCTGACTTGAACTACTAATGTGGCTATTAACAGAGATGGGGAAGTTTGAGAAGATGAACACGTTTTGGGAGGGAGGAAATACTGACTTGCCATAACTAAGGGACCTCTGAGTAAAGCTGCCCACTTTACAGTTGAAATAGGTGTACATAGCTTGAGAAAGCTCTCGGGGCTAGATTAAAGCTGTGTGAATCATCAGTGTTCCATGCGAAGAAGAGACATGGCTGGATATGGGATGGACTGGGGAAGCTGTGGCATTTGTAGAAAGGAAAGACCCGTTTAGACGTTAGGTGAATTTTATAGATGCCTCCTTTTCTGGGTGAAAGCCTAATCCCTGGCTGCAAAACTACGTCTCTGGAAGCCTGCTATTGGTACGGTTCTTAATTTGCACTGTTTGTAGCAAAGTCAGACAACTGTTCACCTTTCTTCTTAGGTTTCCATAGCATCTCCTGAAGATCATGTTATGGAAACCTAAGAAGAAAGATTAAAACTAGCGTTATAGATGCTCAATGGAATTTCAGTGGTTGTGGTGACAACTAGCTGAATCAAGTGCAATCCTTTTCCAATATTTTCATCTTTAATGCTCATACATTACTGTTTTTGTCTTTTGCGTGTAAGAGCCACTTCATTCTGCTTTGTAGTAGAGTTGTTCACTTATTGTATATATTAAGCTGTGAGTTTCTCAGGGGCAGAGACTATGGCTTATACATTTTCACATTCTCTCCAGCCCGTCTTGAGAGTTTTCAACAATTGTTTATTTATTCATTCAACATGTATTGACCAAGTATCTACTACATGCAAGGCACTATGCTTTTTCTGAATGATATAGCAATGAATAGAAGAGATAAAAATCCCTCCCTTCATGGAGCTTATGTTTTAGTGGGGAGAGACAGATGGCAGATGATAAACAAATAAGTAAAATACATAGTGTGTAATTTGGTAATAAGTTCTTTGAAAGACAAGCAGAAAGATGAGATGTACCATTTTTTGGTATTTTTTGATGGGAGGTTGCAAAGGCTGTGAAGCACAAATATGCCTGGTGTTTTCACAAACAGCAACAGGGTTAGTGCAGCTAGGATACATGAGCAAAGGTAGAGTAAGGTACATGCTTCTGAGCAAAGGTGAGATGTGATACGACTTAAATTTTAAAGTTTTATTCTGGCTGCAGTGTGGAGGGCAGTAGTGTAAGAAGGAAACCAATTAGGCAACAATTGCAATAATCCAGGAGGGATATGATGGCTTGAACTGATGTGGTAGTGGGAAATTGAACAGATCTGGTTGGATTCTGGATACATATCAAAGGCAAGACCAACAGGGTTTACTGACAGATTGCGTGTGGGTTGTGAAAGACAGGAGTCAAAAATGACTTCAAGTTCTTTGGCCTGAGCAAACAGAAGAGCATTGTGGCCATCTATTAATATCAATATAAAGAAGACAATGGAAGGATTGGATTTGGGAAGGGGTAGGAATTAAGAGCTCACTTTTGAACATACTATGTTTGACGTATCTTTTAGACAATCAAGTACAGATATTGAGTAGACAGTTGGATATTCAAAGTTGTGGCTCAGGGTCAAGACCCATGCTGAAGCTATAAACTGAGAAGTTATGGGTATGTAGACAGTATATGAAGCCAGTATACTGGCATGAGATTAGATTGTTGTTGAATCGTTGGTATATATATATGTGTGTGTGTGTGTGTGTGTGTGTATGTGTGTATATACACACACACACATATATACATATATATATATTCATATCTGCTGCTTTATCTTTAAGCATGCTCATCTCTCATATTAGTTCAAACCAAACTAGGTGTCTCTATAGACAGTTTGTAGGTTCAGGAGTTAAATAGTTTCTACTACGTGTGTGCCTAGAGTAATGCTTAGCGGTGTAGGGGATATAACAAGACGTTAAGACTCACATCCTGCCTTCAAGACCTTAACATTTGATTAGAAAAAGAAGACCTTTACTTGTGAAACTTTGTTCATACTACAAAACAATATGAACCATTTAAAACATATATCAGTCAAACGTATAAGCCTTTTTTAAAGAAAATCAGCCTACATCATGCTTTGAAAAGTTAAAAGTCTTTTTTGAATGATTTCTGTGTTCTATGTGCTTGCCATAAATGCAATAGGAATTCCAAAATATGAGATAGTGTATATGATAGAGGAGCCACCATTTGGATGTCTATAGATTTCTTTGAAAACACATATGATGAAGAGCTGAAGAAAAATAAAGGAGTCAATTTCACTGCAAAATAAAATCATAAAGTTAATTGGTTTCTAACTAAATTTTTAAACATTGTATGAAAAGACCAAGTTGCAAAGTTGCAGCAGTGGACTGAAATGGTGATGATAAAATAATGTAAAGAATGAAAATAAGAACATTTTTATAGGGCTTGTAACTTTACAGAGGACTTTGACATCTCAGATGACACTTGATCTTCTCAAATCTCTCCATGCTAAGTAGAGCAGTTAATGCTTCTACTGGCCCTAAGACCTTTAGTGGCTCCTAGCTCAGCATTCTATGGGGAAACGGGGTTCTTTCGGTGATTTATCATGAAGTTTAAAATTGCTATTTCCAAAACCGATTTAGATCCTGCTGTTCCTGTACCAGTATACTCACCAGAAGTGTTGTTTACATCCTCTCAGTACTATGAAGAACAAAAATTTACCACTACCTAACTCATTAAAAATGCTCTGCAGGCCTGAGGCTCAAAAGCCACAATATGAGCACAAAGAGTTCAGTCCCCCTCAAGGACACTTTATTTCATGAGCTCTCTCACTCAGAATCCTTCCCTTCCTCAGAGCCCCTGTCTTAAATGTAATATTAAACCAGAGGCAAGAATGTGTTCTTTCTGAATGTAGTTCTCTTACCAGTTTTCACTTCAAATGTGGGATGTGCTGGGTTAATCTTTGTATTCCTCACCACTTTCAAATCCGATAACATTTTTTAATCTAACCACTGATTTTAGCATTAAAAACAGACACACCACAGAACAACGTTGTCCTCTATTTGAATTCCAATACAAATATTTTTGAAGGCTGTCTCTCTTTTACCTTGAGTATTTTCTGATGCTGCAACCTCCAGCTTAATCCTTAATGCTTGACAATGTATGTATGTAAGACGGAGTGTTACTATTGCCTGCGGCTAGCTTCATGTCATCTAGTTTGTCTTTTACTTCTCTCCTTTGATAGTATTATCAGGACCAATTGTGAATCTGCCAGACGCATTTCCTCACAAAAAGATAAATCTAAGAAGGCTTGTGTTTTTCCCTTTCTCTTCCAGGACTGCTTGCATTAAAGGACTTCCTCATCCTTTTTTCATGAAACTGAGCTTGCTTAATCAGAGATGGAGCAAACTGACTGCAAACCCTACCAGCCTCTATCAAAAGTCAAGCATGAAATGGATCTAGCTTACACCAGTTCTTCTGATGAGAGTGAAGATGGAAGAAAACCAAGACAGTCATACAACTCCAGGGAAACTCTGCACGAGTATAACCAGGAGCTGAGGATGAATTACAATAGCCAGAGTAGAAAGAAGAAAGAAGTAGAAAAATCTACTCAAGGTATGTTTTTGTTGGATCTTTATAACTAATATTATTTCTCATTAGAGAATGCTTGTGTGCATAAACTTTTGTTTCAAAAATAAATTTGCTAATGTTAACTGGTTAATAATTCGCACAGCTTATATATGCTCGGAGAATCTATTTCATATGCCAACCCAACTGAGGTTGTAGGTTACATGTGCTTTTTACGGATTATGCATGAATTTGGATGCTGCAGTCCTCTTATCAGAACATTCAAAATTTGTCTAATCCTACAAATAGCCATTTATACACTGAAGGATAAATAATTTATAGTAAAATGAAAAGTAAACAGCTAAGTGCTTTTCAAGCCATTGCTTATATGGGACAAAAGTCTCAAATAAATATGCTGACAAAGCTAGCAGGCTAGTGGAGACCACCAAACAGGGTTCCAGAAAGTCTATTACCAGAATGTAGAAACATTGCACAGCCGAGACTGAAGGGAAAGTAAGAATTTTTTAGAACCCTTCCTACAATAGCCATATTTTGGAGCATATTCTTTGGGCAGCCTTAGTGTCTCAGTTATGGATTGACAAGACAGTTTCTAACAAAAAAAACTAGTAGAAATATGATTTCCTGTTCCAACTGATAGATAAACTGTGTTAGACACTATTTTAATGACGCAGAAGATACTGACGTTGGCACAAGGTTTTTTGTTTTTTTGTTTTGTTTTGTTTTGTTTTGTCTTGTTTTGAGACAGAGTCTCACTCCGTTGCCCAGTCTGGAGTGCAATGGCGCAAACTCGGCTTACTGCAACTTCCACCTCCCGAGTTCAAGCAATTCTCCTGCCTCAGCCACCTGAGTAGCTGGGATTACAGGTGCGCCCCACCACACTCAGCTACATTTTGTATTTTTAATAGAGATGGAGTTTCACCATGTTGGTCAGGCTGGTCTCAAACTCCTGACCTCGTGATCCACCTGCCTCAGCCTCCGAATGTGCTGGGATTATAGGCATGAGCCACCACGCCCAGATGACACAAGTTATCTTTTTTTATGAATAAGTTAATGCTGAGAAAAAAAGCAATAGACTTAATTTTCTAGGTCCTCCAAGTATGGACTTGACTAACAACATCAGCAAAACTTGAGAATTTTTTTAGAATGTAAATTCTCCAGCCCCACCCTAGACATATTGAGTCAGAAACCCTGGGGGTGGGACACATTTGTGGTTTAATAAACCCCCAGGGGACTCTGATTCCTGCTCAAGATTGAAGATTACTGCTTGAACCCCGAAATATTTTACTCAGATGGCTTCAATGATCACATCTATTTGAGTGACCTTCACATATTTATCTTCAGACCTAACCTCCTTCCTAAACTCTAGTCCTAAATTTTCAGTTAACCTCCCCAGCATTTCCAAACGAATAATACACTGACACCTCTAAACCAATCTTTCTAAAGTAGAAGCAATCATCTTAACATTCCTAATCCCACTCATCTTGCTTGTATCACCTACGTCTGTTAATGATGCTCCCATTCACCCAGTCAACCACACATACTTACTGTATCTAATCAGTTTCTTCATCCAGCAGAGTTAATCTCTACATGTCTCAAATCCGTTTTCTCCTCTCCATTCTCATGATCATTACTCTCATTATATCTAACCCAGATTGTTATTTCTTTCTTAACTGGTCTACTGGGATCTCACCCCATCCCTTTTCAATCCCTTTGCTGTGTTGTTACATCTTTCTTGGTATACAATTCGCTGCTATCTCTCTTTATGCATATTCAACCGTCTTTCAAGGCCTAGCTTACAAGCATCCTTTCCCACTAAATCATTGCCTCACCATCACCCCCAACATCATCACTGTTTCACTGTGTAGGTGATCTTCCTCTGTGAACTTTGAGAATACATTCTTTTTACCTTTTTTTTTTTTTCCTCTTTGACAGAGTCTCACTCTGTTGCCCAGGCTGGAATGCAGTGGCATGATCTTGGCTTACTGCAACCTCTGCCTCCTAGGCTCAAGTGATTCTCATGCCTCAGCCTCCTGAGTAGCTGGGATTTCAGGTACGCGCCACCATGCCTGGCTAATGTTTTTGTATTTTTAGTAGAGATGGGGTTTCACCATATTGGCCAGGCTGTTCTCAAACTTCTGGCCTCATGTGATCTGCCCACCTCAGCCTCCCAAAGTGCTGGGATTACAGGCATAAGCCACCACTCCCAGCCTCTTTTTAACCTCTTCTTATGGTTGTATATATTTCCCTAGACTGTATACTCAATGAAGATGGGGATCAAGACATCTCTGTTTTCCATAAAACTTTGCATATAATATATGCTTTATAATTGTTTCATTTAAGGAATTAGCTGCTACAACTGAAATGTAAGTGCTTATCATGCATTGAAAACTACTCTTTAAATATTGCCATGTCAAATGCAATTATCACAAATGAAAATTACAGTACTCTAATTAGTACTGGAATCTTACATTGTAAAAACAACCTTACATTGAGCCAAAATTTAAGATATTCATTCTAACACTTAAATATACATTAAATATTTGTGATGTTAACTATATTACTCATTTTCATCCCTTAACATAATTGGTAAAAGTTTTACATCTTTCTTTTCAAGGAATTCATTTTAATATTTCCTATTTTTTCAGTTAATAGCATGTAAATTTGTTCTAAAATAATTTTCTTCTTCTGCCTGACAATTGGGAAATGATTTCCTATGGAAATGTTTTTGGCTTTAGGAAATGCCTAGTTCTCATTAAAATACTTATCTGTAAGTTTATCTTTACAGAAGATGACTTTGCAATTGTGATTTATGGGTTGTGTGTTTAGGATGTAGAGTGGTTGACCTAATATATTGTGGGTAGAAATAAGAATGCATTCTGGTGACAGTTCTAAAAACATAAGCAATTTTATGCTGAGTCAGTATAAAGAGTTGGCCAGCCTCAGATTTTGTCTCTGTGCAGTTTCATCAAAAGGAATTTGGGGTGAGGGGAGTTTGTCTCCATGATGTCATTCTAACTTCCTTTCAATGGATTATTTTTATTCAATAAGCTTTTATTTACCAATTAATATGTGTCAGACCTTGAAGCCAATGCTGAGGATGGAGATGACTGCTTGCAGGAAACTTATAATGCAGTGGAGAAAATAGACACTCAAAACACGTTATTGCAATTAAATGTATGAAGTGCTTTTACAGATAAAAAAAAAAGGTGCTGTGGAAGTACACAGAATGAAACAATTAACTTCTTTAGAGGAATCAGAGTACATAGAAGGGTGATATTTGATTGATCTAACTTAAAATTTGAATAAAAGTTTACCAGAAGGACATTCCTAGAAAGCAGATAAGCAAGTGCAAAGTATAAAGCTCTGAAGAAGGCCTGTAATGGTGAAACATTCAATATGACTAGAGCAAGGTATGTTGGAGCCAGATTGTGAAGTCTCACATGCCCAATTTAGGAGTTTTTTAAAATTTCCTTTAAGCATTGAAAAAGAAAGCTTTCAATTAGTGGAGAATTTCATGATGAATTGTAATTTTTAGGATAAGAAGTGTATACAGGCGAATTGTAGAAGTGTAGGCAGCAGTGTAGAAGATTGATTGCAACTGGAAATAATGGGATGCAGGGAGAAAAATCTATGAGGCCACTGAATTAGGCCAGAGCTAAGAATCACGTTAGAGGTCCAAACAATGTCTGTGGAGATGAAGAGACACACTCAAGAGATATAAGTGTGTTTAAATTGATAGAACCTCATAATTGATTACTGGTTGAAGTTGAAAGAAATAATAGAGTCAAGGATGACTCTAAAGTTTTAAGTTTGGGAAACTGAGAAAATAGCAATTAATTTACCAAGAGAAGAACACAGCAGGAGGAGCAGGTTTGGAAGGGAAGAAGATGAGTTTCTTTTTAGACATGTTAAGTTTCAGATGCTGGTATGACATCCAGGTAGCTTTTCCCATCAGCGAATGGAAATGTGTGTCTAGGATTCAGAACAGATCTGGGCTGTCGTTATAAGTAGATTTGAGCTCATCAGTGTCTCAGAATAGAGATGCTGGGGGATGGATGAGATTACCCAGGGAGAGTGTGTAGAAGGTTGAGACTAGAAAAAGGCCAAGGACAAAAACCTGAATCTATCATCCATGAACTGACATAAACACATTTTGAACCAATTTATATTTTTAGCCTGCACCATCCTTCAGTGCACTGACTTATATAAAATAAAGTATACAGATCTGGGAGCTAAAAGTCTGGAAACAGTACCTCATCTGCCACTGACTGCCAATCGGTAGGACACCTAGGAGGGAAAATATATACCCCTTTGAAGGAGAAATGACTTGTCCTATGTTAGGCAAAATGGCAGGCCTAATTATCTTTTTTGCAAGACCTGGAATCCTCTTTATTGTCTTAATCCATGTATTACTACCTATGAGTCAGAAAAAAAGTGCTTTTAATTTTTGCAAATGTATGTCAGTGGTTGAATCTTGCATCAACCAAGGTAAAGTTGAGCCTAACCCATTATTTTAAAGGAATAAGATCTCAAAAAATCATTGAGTTTTAGATCAGGAAGGAGGAATGCAAGCAAAATGTTGATTGGCACCTGCTATGGTGCCAGGTATGGTGCTAGATGCCTTTTAAGTTTACTAGCTATATAAACTTAAGCGAGATACTTCAGCTCTGAATCTGTTTTTTTCTTCTGCAAAATTGACTTCATCATCATCACCATCATCATAATAATAATGATAAATTTGGAATTGTACCTATTCTATTCTGGCACTCTGCAAAGTGCTTTACATTTGTTCCTCATAAACACCTGATGGATGAGGTATGCGCTATTATCCCCAGTTTACAGATGAGATAACTAAGACTTGGAGAGACGTAACTTGCCAGAGGTTGCACAGCTAAAGGAGAGGTAAGAGTTAGGATCAGAAATCAAGTCTATGGCTCTAAAGCCCCCATTCTTCACTATACCACACTGTCTTCCATACCTATGTCAGGAAGTTGTGATAAGTATTGATTGCCATCATGAGAGTGATG